TTGAGTGCACTAGGGATTTGAGATGAGATAAGCTTAGCTGTCCCAGAGTAGGGCAAGGGAATGGATGACCATGTTTCCAAGTATTTTTTAGGCTTGTTTTTTGTTTTGTTTTGCTGGCTACTATCTTAGGAAAGGACAGAAATAGTGCGCTAATAAAATTCCTCCAAGCTTCTTGCTCAAATGCTCACTTTTTCCTGGTACTGTTCGGTCTTTTTATGCATCTCCTTGTCTTCAGCGTCTTAGTCACTTGAACAGTGGTTTGAATGCTAGCATGTTCCCTTGAGATGCTGGCCGCAGCCTTCTCTGTAATCCCTTTTCCCAGGCCCAGGGTATAGCTAGTTACTATGCCAATTAAATATTGAAATACTTGTTAATGTAAAATATAAACAGATATGAATAAATAGGATAACAGGCTGATGCAATAGAAATTCCTGCAGATGAAACAGCTACATGCGTGGCACTTGTGTGCTGTCCCAGAACAGATGAGAACCAGACAACTGTCCCAGAACAAAAATGTCTTGTGGAGCTAGAAATAACCACCTCCTGCTGTTTCCTAACACCCTCCTTGTGTGTGTTAGAACCTGAAAATCCTGCTTTTGCTGAAGGAGGAGCTTAGAAACTCGCAGGCCCTGAAAACCAATTACCTTTACTTTAGGAGGTTCTTCCCACAGCCGGTACCTTCGTTCCCCTTTCTGCTGAGTACGTTCACTGATAACTTTGGCTTTCCGAATCAGGTTCACCCCTTAGGCCTGTATGAGGGTCTGTTTTCTCCAGGACTCCCCTCCCACTCACCCCTCACAAAAGTGTGTGGCTCTACAGTAATCTTCTTTTCTGCAAATAGTGAGTTGCGTGGTCCTGACTCGTATCTTCACCAAGCCTGTGGTGTTTGAGCAGGGGCTGGAAGCTTGGGTTGGAGGTGAAAATGCTCAGCCGCCGAAAAATGACCAATGCACAAGAGAAACGCAGCTAAAAAAACGTCTACTGCCTTTTTGAACGTTTCTGTTACGTGCGACAGTGATGCGTAGTGTGGCTCGGGGAAGGGTGACTTAAGGTAAGTTTCCTCTTTACATCCAGTGTTAAGCAGTTCTGAAGCAGTTGTAATTTCAAATCTTCAAAGAGCGTGGTTATACTACACTACTGTGGCTATTTCTATTGGGATAGTAAGGTCTAATCTAGGAACAATGTTTTCTGGATTTGATACTGCTTGGGTGTGGGTTTATGGCATTATATCCAGGAAATGCTGGCCTGGTTAGCTGTCGTGTCACTTGTTTTTCTGGTGTTGATCTCTGCCTAATACTCTCTCTTTTCCAAAACTAGACATGTGGATAGTGTAGACATAGATAGATTCTTAAGAATTTTTCCCCCAAATTATCTTTCATTACATGAATGGGTTTTAGGCTCTGTAAAAGGTTCTCTCTTCAGCTAAAAGACAGGCAGGTAACACAGAAGCCTTGAGCTCGTGTGGAAACGCAAGAGAAAATTGTGATGCATGTAACACAAATAAAGGTTACGTGGTGCTCATCAGTCCTATTGTTTCTTGAGTGGCAAGATGAGATCTTGTGCGGTGCCTTGGCAAAAGGAAGCGCAGGTGGCAATGCGCCATTTTCTGTGCCTCAGATTAATGGGCCAGTTTACGCGTTGCAGTAGTCATCAATATACTTTGGAGAGGCCTTTGTGCTGCTCTTAAAGCAGCTGATCTTGAGCTCTCGCTCGGCTGCCTTGTAGCCCGAGAGCCCTAGCGTGTGCTGCTTTGGCTGCAGCTCTTGCTGCTTCTCCGGCTCCTGTGCTGGGGATGTTTTTCTCTGGAGCTGCTACGCTGCTCTCTCTGTGCCAGAGCAGCATGAAGAAGCCACAACAGGGTCTAGGATAAAACTTGCAAGGATCTTCAAGTAGTTCATCTCGGCACAACTGGGTGCAAGCTTTCTGCAGCTTCCTCGAGTAGGCCTGTAGGCAGTGCCCTTCTCCCTCACTCTTGTTCCGCTTGCCAAATGCTGCCGGCTTCTTTCTGAACCCCGCTGTCTGGACAGCTTCTGTCTCGGCATCGTTCGGAAATATCTTTGTCCCAGGCTGGTGCGGAGTGCCGCTGCGCGGTGCTGCCGTGCGACGCCTCTGTGCAGTGCTGCTGAGGTTCACCAGGGGGAGCGCAGGAGGTTTCCTCCCTTCTCCCCCCTCCCCAGCTTCTCAAAGGTGATGGCTGGCTTCTGGCCTCTCAGAAATGTTGAATGAAAAGCTGTAGTGATTTTTTTGGCAGTCATGGCCGCTGACAACCCACGGTCCTGCTCCTCTTCACGGGTGCTTTCCCTGCTGGATCATGCGGACTAGCCAACGGTGGAGTCTGAGCATCCTGACCAGGGTCCTGGTAACCGAATGCACGCGGCACCAGCACGTCACCAGCTTGGACTGCTAGCGAAGGGAGGCTGTTAGCAGCTGGAGTTAGAAACGATGGCGCTGTGCTTACAGATGGAGATTTGAAGCTTAAAGATTGAGATTCGAAGGGAGGGTGTTGCAGTGAGACGTGGCGGTGTCTGCTCTGAAAGGGGACTTTTGTGTGCACTGTCTGAAAGGTATGTTAAGGGCCTGGATGGCTCAAAAGGAGGATTCCTGTCCCGGGAGAATGAGACTAGGTCTCATCCTGCTGAGACTGCTCATCCTGCTCATCCTGCTGAGTGAGAGCAACTCACTAAGTCCCAGATCTTAGCTAAACATTAGGGGCACAGAGACAATGTTCGGGGCTTGTTTTTTTTAAACCTGTGGTTTACTACAGCATCACAGACAAATTTCATGCTGAGGTTTGTGTAGTGTCTCCTCCCGATACTCCCTGGGAAAGTGTGCTTTGTCATTTGTGCAGCGCATCTTTCAGATACATCAGGCAGATGAGAAGAGCTCGAAGCGTTGTTAAAAACATCTTCCTTCGTGTGTTATCGCTGGAGCTTCCCTGAGTGCAGAGCCTGGCGCGTCCATCAGGGAAGCAGGAGTTTGCCCTCAGCTGCTTCGTGTGCAGCAGCCGTGCCGGGAAACGTGGCTGTGTCAAACCTTTCTCTGCCCGTGCGTGAATCTGATGTTCATCACATGCACTTCTGTCCCGAACGCTGGGCTGGAGCCCGCTACGGTACCAGACAGCCTGGATCTTGATTTCTGCTCTCTGAATCAGCAAAAGGGATCGTGCAGAAAACAACTGTATAGCAGGCTGGAGCTTCAACACCTCGCGTGCTTGTACGTGCTGCCTCTGTTTCTGCTCTGTCAATGAGACTTGGTTGTACCCACAGGAGGATGGGGTATAGGACAGTGAGTTGACAGAAAATACTGGTTGCTACTTCTCTTTTTTTTTTTCTTTATTCTTTTTAACAAAATCCCAAGCTTCAATGTTTAGGACAGAGGAGAGGAACGCATCATCGTTGGTGTTCGTTCTTAACTTTTGTTTTTTAATCAAACATTTAGAAGCTGGGGGTTTTTTTGTTTTGTTTTTCTCTCTCCCCCATCCCAAAATCATCAAGCATCATTTATTAAGTTTTGATTACAACTTCCCTGCAGTGCAGAAAAGAGCAGCACCCTGCCAATGTGAGAGAACGAGGAAGCGAAGCCAGCAAGAAACAGGAAGCGAAATCGTGGAGCCCGCTTTCATTTTCTGAGCCGACGCTGCTGAAAAAAGGAGCCGGAACCCAAACATGATCCCAGGATGCTCTCTGCAGAGCGGCAAGCGCTTGCTAGTTTGGTGTTTATTGCGTTGAATCTTACAGGCTTGGTCAGGAAGCGGCTTTTGTTACGGTGTAAATCTGCTGCCTGTGCGTCGCGTCGCTGCGAGATGGAGTCAGCGGCACCGCTACAATCGCAGTAGTCGGAGCGCTTTGTGAGGCCGAAGCTACTGCCCTGAACCTTGACAGGGTCTCTGATGGTATAAAGTCCCTGCTGTGCTGGCATTGTCCCAGGCTGTCCCTACCTGGAAGAGTTTGCAGGCTGACAGATGTGGGACCAAGGAAAAAAAAAAAAAAAAAACCTTAAATCTTTTAACCTCAAGAGGGAAATAACTAATGCAGTAGGAAAGACTTTAGGCTTCTGGCGCCGTCCATGTGCGTATTCTCGGAGATCAGGAGTGACCGCAGCCTGCTTTGCCAGCACCTGAGAGCAGTGGAGGTGCTAGCTGGTCGTTAGGAGGTGCCCAGGGCCCCAGGAGGACCACAGCTCCCCTGGGAGCAGCACCCGGTGAGCTCCATTATGTCCACATCTGTCCGCGTACCACGTGTTCCTCCTGTGGGCTACCCACGGTCATCCCCGTCCCTGTTCACTCCCTGGCTGCTGGTTGCATGGCTGCGTCTGATTCTCACAGTGGGGTTGGGGACAGAGAGGACTTGCCCAGCGGGAGCTGATGTTACCAGGCAGCGAGGGGACAGGAGCTCTCGCTGTTTCTCTCAAAGGCTGTTGCTCTGCTGGCAGTTTCTGTCCGCCCTTCCTAGGGAACAGGGGAGGGAAAGGGCCCTGACGCTGCTGCGTGCGTGCTGAAAGGCCTAGCTCCTGTAGCCTTTAAAAGATGCAAGGTGCCTTAATGCTTACCCTTTCCAAGCCAGCTTTCAAATTGTTGTGGGAAGGAAGGAGGTAAACAAGAATTGGAAAATGGACCCGCCTGGTTTCCCTGCACTAGGCCCTCCAGCCTGGCAGGTCTCCTTGGGCTCGTTTTTGGATGGATGGTCCTGTTCAAACTGCACCTGAGTCCCCTGGGCCAGCAGCCTGGGCTCCGCATGGAAGCTGAGGTGCGGTTACAGCTGTGGCCGAGAGCGGTGCGTAGGGCTCACGGGGCAGCGATGCTCGTGAATGGTTTGGAGTCCTGGGTCAACCCCCCGAAGGACCAGTCTGCCTCAATGACAACGTTATACGCTCGTATCTGGGAATAGCTTTTTTGATCCTACATCAGCAAGAGGCTCTTTCATGGTACCTGGCTGGTTGGAGGGGGTCCTAACTGCTGCACCTACCTCCCCAGACCCTCCGGGAACACAAGACAAGGCAGGGAAGGCTCAGAAACGTTGTATTACAAAAATAAAAGAGCACGTGGCGCAGTGTCATGCGTGAAGCCACCGTGCCAGGCTCCAGTGCTGAACGTACCAATCAAAGGCAAATATAAAAAAGACAAACGCTGTTAAACAGTCGCAGGGCAACATCTGTAAGGCTGAACGATCCCAGCTGAACCGAGCTGATGTAAACCAAAGACCCTCCTTAATCGGAGCCCCAGCAAGGCATGAGCGGTGTGACAGGAGCTGGGAGCTCTGCTCTTGACTTGCAGGCTAGGTTGGAGCTGGCTCTTGGAGCCCCCCCAAGTCTTCTCCTCTACGGTTGCAGGTCTGAAATTTGGGAAGGGGGGCTGGGGGGTTGTGGGGTCAAGTGCTTCTGCCTGATCTCATCAGGGAAAGATGCCTGCAGAGCAGGCTTTGCTTAGGGCTATACCCCGGCAACCTCTACCTGTCCTTACAGCCCACAGGACCCCCCTCCAAAGGCCCCCAAAGCCTGGGACGAGGTTGCCTCCCTCCCCTTACTGCCCACAGGCTCATGGGTCGCCTTTGCTTTACATCAGCTCAGTTAGCCCCTGGCTCAGCGCTGCTCTGTGCCATCTCTGCTGGGCTCCAGGGCAGGACAGGGGCCGGGCCCGCTCACGCCGACTTGGTCCCGCTCTCCACTTCCTTGTGCACCCACAGCTCCTTGTGCTGCTTGCGCCCGAAGCCCTCGTCGTAGTTGCCTTTGCTCTTGAAGAGCTGCTGGAAGTGGGGCTTGCAGTAGAACTCGCCGTGGAGCGCCGCGTAGCTGCCCAGGCTGCGGGAAGGAGCACGGAGGTTAGCCGGGCTGTCTAGCAGGGAGCCCGTGAGGCCACGGGGCATGGGGAGAGAGGAGGGTGCATGCAGGAAGCGATTCTTGACTGAAAGGGTTGACTGCTGTCGGCAGCTCAGGACTTCAGGGGCTGCTGTGAGCACCCTTTGAGAGCTGCAAAGGTTTGGGGGGAGGGTGCAGCTCAGCTTTCGTTGTGCGTTTCGCCTAGGAGGAAGCTCTGGTGAAGCCTCACCTCATCGTGGGGGGCCTCATCCCTGCTCTCAAGGGGATGGAGAAGCAGCAGAACCTCTGTTTTGTTACAGTCTCTTGCTAATTGCACGTATGGGGGGCAGAGGGGTCGAGGCTGTCCTTCTCCCTTCTACTTTGCACGCCTGGCCTTTGGGCTAATCTGAGGAGAAGTCTTCTTCCGTGCCAGGCAAGCTTTAGCTGAGACTCTGGCCC